CGCTGGGTAGGTGCCCCGAGGTGGGGTCCCTCTGCCTGGTGCCCCTGTGCCCGGGCACTGCGCACAGCCTGGGAGCCAGAGCCAGGAGGGAGCAGCCCTGAGGGGCCGGTGCCTCTGGGGACACCGGGGGCTGCTGTCCTGGGGGACACCGGGGGCTCCGAGCCAGCCCGGGGACACGGGCACTGAGCTCCCCCGTGTCTGCTCTGCAGAAGTGACCGACCCTGCCAGCATCAAGGCGGCTGCAGCCAGAGTGGGGGAGAAGCTGGGGGGCTCGGGGCTGAACCTCCTCATCAACAACGCTGGGATGGCAAAGCCAAACTCACTTGATATGGAGACACAGGAGAGCATGACTGAGATTTACACCACCAACACGATTGGGCCCTTGCTGCTGAGCCAGGTCAGACCTTCAAGCAAGCACCAAAACACAGCTCTGAGAAGTATCCTTTCCTGTGACCCTGAGTCTCTGATCTGACCTCTCTTGGGGGCCACAACTGTCAGTGGGAGAGGGTCCTGCCTGTATTCTGGTGCCCAATGGATTCTGACTTATCAAGAAGCTCATGGAGCCATGGGCTGGGGCTGAGGAGTTGGACAGTGATGGGGGAGGGAGGATGCTCCAGTGCTGGTTGCCTGCTATGGAAGGAGCTGGTCCTCTCCCTTGTGCCATTTTTGTGCACATCCCTATCTTCTGTCCTTCTCCTGGCAGGCGTTCCTGCCCCTGCTGAAGAAGGCTGCCCAGGGGAGCCCGGGCTCAGCGCTGAGCTGCAGCAAGGCCGCCATCGTCAACATCTCCAGCTCAGCAGGGTCCATCCAGGAACTCTATATGTGGGGTCCCACACATGTTGTCTCGTACCGCTGCAGCAAGGTACTGCCCTGCCAGGGACAGATTTCCCTGCCTTGGGTCTGCCCGTGTCCCCTCCCAGCACCACCCCTGCCCTGTCTCCCCACAGGCTGCCCTGAACATGCTGAGCAGGTGCCAGTCCCTGGGGTACCGGGAGCACGGCATCCTCTGCGTGGCTCTGCACCCCGGCTGGGTACAGACCGACATGGGCGGCGCCGGGTCACTGAAGGTAAGAGTCTCCTCTTGGCCAGGGTCTGGAAGAACCTCTTTATTTGGGAATGCCAAGCTTCCTGTGGGTTGAAGAACCCAGGGATGTTGGTCTCTGGGAAGGCACTTTGTCAGGTGGGTCTGAGGGAACAAAAACAGAGGCGAGGACCTCTCCTTGCCCTGTGTTGGCCTCTCCTCACTCACAGCAGAAAATCCCAAACCCCCAGCAATGATCTGCTCCAGGGCAGCCCCTTCCAGGCCTGACCCAGGGGCTGCCTCTCCCCTCTGCCCCGCAGCCCCCCTTGACGGTGGACGAGAGCGTGCGAGGGATGCTGAAGGTGCTCTCCTCCCTCTCCGAGAAGGACACCGGCACCTTCCTGGACTGGGAAGGGAAGGTGGTGCCCTGGTGAGAGCCCAGGATCCTGGCACCAGGGCCCGGTACTTGTGCACTGAGTTGTTCCCGTGTCTTAATAAATTTCTGCCTGAAAACCATAATAAGCACAATTTGAGCCTTCCTCTTGGTCTCCTTTTAGCTACCGTCATAAGAGTCTTTGCTAATGCTTTGAGAGAACTTCTCAGGGTTGTTTCTGGCTGTAATCGAGCTGGGTTGGTCTGGGTGGCTGATCTCCTCCAGTCCCGGCTGGCCCTGGGCTCAGGGGTCACAGGGCTCAGGGCTCTGCTGTGCGGGGACACAGTGCTCGTCTGGGTGATCCCAGTGCCCGTGGGGACAGCCTGGGGCTGAGGAGCCTGGCCCACAGGGACACGTCCCCAGGCTGCAGGGATGTCTTCTCCAAGCCCCCTGTACCCGGTGTTGGCCGGGCTGCCCTGGCCTGTGCTCCCCTCTGTGCCCCTGAGCAGCCCCACAGCCTCCAGTCCCACACACCAAGGTGCCAACTTCAGAGCTGACCCTGGGGCTGCAGGACCCAAAGCCCCCGTGTGCCCTGAGCGGGATTGCAATGGGGGGACAGGGAGCACCCAGTCCTGGGGACCCCCCCTACACAGCCCAGGACCTTCTCCACCCCTCGGTCACGCTGGATCCACGGGCCGAGGGCACAAGGTTCAACGAGGCCAAGTGCCGGGTCCTGCGCTCGGGTCCCAACAACCCCAGGCCGAGCTCCAGGCTTGGGGCAGAGCAGCTGGAAAGTGCCCGGGGGAAAAGGACCCAGGGGTGCTGGTTGACAGGGGCCGAACAGGAGCCAGCGTGGCCCCTATGGCTGAGAAGGCCATCAGCTTGGATGGAAATGGTGTGGCCAGTAGCCCAGGGCAGGATTTGTGCCGCTGTGCTGGGCACAGGAGGCCCTTGTCCTGGGCCTCGTCACCAGGCACCTGGTCTCCGTGTTCTGGGCAGTCTAGAAGAGGCAGCACCGTGCAAGCACAGTTTGGGGTGCGGGTGGGCAGGAGAGGGGATGTTTTATAGCCAGAAAATGGCCATGGGAGTGGGAAATGGGGCTTTGCCCAGTGACTGGTAATCGGCACACCCAGCATTTTGAGAACACCCTGAACTTCTATAGTTCACCCATTGAACCGCAAAAGCTGCAAAGGGAGGTGCAAGAAGGCAAGTCAGTTTTCCAAGTGGGAAGGCAAAGAACCTCTGCTCGTGGCCATCTGAGTCACGACCTGGTGCTACATGGGCAGCCCATCCAGCCCAGGGGACACTTGTGAGGCTGTACAGGCCAGTGGAGCCGCGGGGCTTCCCACATCCCTCCCACACGCTGCTCCCTCCCTCCTTAACCTCAACAGCTCCTCCTGGCCAGGCTGGCCCGGAGCTCCCAGGATTCCGGGCC